CGTGTAGCTAACTTCTCCATTCGACCCTTTGTCTGCATCGGAGGCACTCACTTTGGTAATGATTGTTCCTTTGAGGGAATTTTCTTTCACACTTGCTTTGTATACAGTTTGCGTAAAAACAGGAGCGTTGTCATTAGCGTCCAGCACAGTAATATGGATCTGCATAGTGCCAGCCCTTTGCGGCTCTCCTCCATCTACAACCGTCAACAGTAATGATGTAAACTCCTGTTTCTCTCTATCCAGAGGTTTTTGTAAAATCATCTCTACCTTTTTAAAATCATCAGATTGACTATGTAATTTAGTTATAAAATTATCATTGGGCTTTAGTGTATAACTCTGAAGACCATTCAGCCCGATATCAGGATCTATTGCATTCTCTAGCATGAATTTAGAGCCGATAACTGCAGACTCGCTGATTTCAATGTTTTTCTCTTCCTTTTGGAATGTAGGAGCGTTGTCATTGATATCTGTGATTTCAACAGTAATCGGGAATATTTCAATCGGGCTTTCTAAGGCAATCTGGAAATGCAACGCGCAAGGCGTTGTCTGGCCACAGAGAGCTTCGCGGTCTATCCTCTCTTTGATAATGAGGAGTCCTTTTTCCTTGTTAAGCTGTATGTATTCGGCGCTGTCTCCCGTGTGAATACGAGCTCTACGCGCTTGAAGCCGTTTAACTTCCAGACCTAAATCCTGAGCTATGTTACCGACCAAGGAGCCTTTTGCCATTTCCTCGGGAATAGAGTAGCTGACCTGGCCGAGTGCTGAACTGAGACAGAGGACCGAGAAAAACAACAGTACTTGCCGTCTCATTGTTCTGTCAGACATCTCCGTCGAAACAAACTAACGTTTACTCCTCTCTTTTGATATCAGCGGTACTGGTGTAAATAAAATCCCCAAAGTGTCAGTTTAATCAACAACTGACTGTAAAATGATTCCAGCTTGATATTCCATGCATTGTGTTGCATCCACCGGCGACTGTGCGTTTATGTTTCGGAGTCCTTCTCGCTTGTGAAAAGACAGGGGGGTGTTCTAGTACAAATGTATCATAAAACGTCAAGACGCTGGTCAACAGCGGCCCACTGAGTTCACAACATGAAACTACATGAGTTAAAGAGAAAAATACAGTTGCCTCTGTTGTTTCCTGTATTGTCACTGAATAAACTACCAACCAACACAGACTACTGTTTCTGTTTTATTGTGCGGGCAAAGTGATGCTAAATAGCACGATATATTTTCCAAACAAATACTTGATCTAAAGTGAATGAAGGAGCAATACTTATATTTAAAACGAAAATAGAAATAGAAAAAAAAAACAACAACAAAAAATAAAACAAGAGGGATTGTTCTTTCGCTGTCCAAGGTACTGAAACGGTATGGGCTGTAAATGACATCACTGAATAAATACATTTAATTTTGAGTTTGAGCAAAAGAACAGTTTTCTAACCTCTAGAGGAGAGTCTGGTTCATCCAGGATGCTCTTTTCATTCTGTATCCGCTGCATCGTCCCTGTAGAACTGGGGTCCATTATCAGCACGTTCTGACTACCAGCTCTGCCGAACTTACAGTCACTCTTTCTGGAGTCAGTCGTCCTGCACACCTCGTAATTGTACACGTGTTGCAGAGTCCCTGTTCCCAAAGTGTCTGAGTAACGTGGTGGATAATATGGAATCACAGGGAGATTGGAGTGATACAGGATGCGAGATTGTCTCCATCTGTAGATTTTCACTGATATAATAACCACTAAACACGTGATGAAGAGGAAGGAAACTACAGCCAGAGCCAACACTAAGTAAAAAGTCAGGTTGTCATTGTACTCCTTGTCGTGTGTAAAGTCAGTGAACTCCGACAGCACTTCAGGGAAGCTGTCCGCCACCGCCACGTTAACAATGACTGTAGCTGAACGAGAGGGCTGCCCGTTGTCCTCCACTATAACAGTCAGTCTTTGTTTCACTGCATCTTTATCAGTGACTTGGCGGATAGTTCTTATTTCTCCATTCTGTAAGCCCACTTCAAACAGCGCCCTGTCTGTGGCTTTCTGCAGTTTATAGGAGAGCCAGGCATTCTGTCCAGAGTCCACATCAACAGCCACCACTTTAGTCACCAGATAGCCCACATCTGCTGAACGAGGCACCATTTCAGCCACCAGAGAGCCCCCAGTCTGGACTGGGTACAGAACCTGAGGAGGGTTGTCGTTCTGGTCCTGGATCAGTATTTTCACAGTCACATTGCTACTGAGTGGAGGAGAGCCTCCATCCTGCGCTTTGACGCGGAAGTGGAAATCTTTGATCTGCTCGTAGTCAAAAGAGCGCACTGCATGGATGACTCCACTATCAGCACTAACGGACACATATGAGGAGACTGGCACTCCGTTAACAGAAGAGTCCTCCAGTATGTAAGAAACACGGGCATTCTGCTTCCAGTCAGCGTCTCTGGCTTTCACTGTGAATATAGAGAGGCCTGGTGTGTTGTTTTCTACAATGTAGGCCTCATATGAGCTCCTCTCAAAGACAGGCGCGTTGTCATTCACATCAGAGATCTGTAAGGTGAGAGTGACGCTGCTGGAGAGGGAGGGTACTCCCTCATCAGAGCAGGTCAATGTTATATTATACTCAGAGGCTCTCTCTCTGTCTAATTCCCTGTCCGTCACTAAACTATAGAAATTAGTGTTTGATGTTTTTAAAGTGAAAGGCATATTTTCGTTGATAAAACATTGTACTTTTCCATTTTCTCCTGAGTCTTTGTCCTCGATGTTTATCATTGTAACGACCGTATTAAGTTTGGCATCTTCTGAAATCACGTTTGACTTCGACATTATATTAATTTCAGGTTTGTTGTCATTTACATCTTGCACGTCGACAATTAATTTACAGGAATCTGTGAGTCCTCCTTCGTCACTAGCAAGTAAATCTATTTGATAGTTTCTAGACTCTTCAAAATCAATGTTTCCAACTAAAGTAATTTTACCGTTTTCCTCATTTACCTCAAATACTTTCGCAATATCATCTAACGTGTTCGTGATTGAATATGCTATTTTACTGTTAGAGCCTTGATCTGCATCTGAGGCTGTAACAGTTGCTACAACTGTGCCTTTAGGTGATTTCTCAGTAACTGTAGCTTTGTATGTGGACTGTGTAAAAACGGGGGCATTATCATTGACGTCTAAAACTGTAATAACAATCAGCATTGTTCCTGACATCTGCGGCTCTCCTCCATCTACAGCCGTTAACACAAGAGAAATCTGCTCCTGTTTCTCTCTGTCTAAAGGTTTCTGTAGCACCATCTCAACATTTTTGTTTCCATCAGCATTATTGTGCACTTTCAGAACAAAATTATCAGTTGGCTTTAATTCGTAGCTCTTAAGATCGTTAATTCCAACATCAAGATCCACAGCCCTTCCCAGCACAAATTTTGCCCCGGTGATCGCTGACTCGCTTATTTTGAATTTCATTTCACTTTTTTCAAAGGTCGGTGCATTATCATTTATGTCAGTAATCTGGACTGTAACCGTGTAAAATTCCATAGGATTTTCTAAAATAATCTGAAAATGTAAAGCACACGGCGTCGTCTGTCTGCACAGCGCCTCTCTGTCGATTCTCTCTTTAACAAGGAGGACTCCTCTGTCTCTGTTCAGCTCGATGTAGTCGCCGCTGTCCCTGGTATAAATTCGAGCTTTACCAGATGCTAGACGTTTGATTTGTAAACCTAAATCATGTGCTATATTACCTACTAAAAATCCTTTGGCCATTTCCTCAGGAATGGTGTAGCTGACCTGCCCGAGCACCGAGCCGACAGACAGGAGTGACACGAACAGCAGTACTTGCCTTGTCATTGTTCTTTCCGAATTGCTTCAGTTGAATTCAATGTGTATCAAATAAAACTGATATCGATTCCAATATCAAATGTAAAATGGATCCTTTATAATCCACACAAAAGAAAGAAAGTCTCAAAAACGTTTTCCAATCATTTGTATAAGTCGAGTGTCCATTCTTTCTCGTCGTGCTCTTTCTTTATTATGTGGACGTTACATGGGAGGTGCTGCTACAACCCTTCAGTCAGCCGTCGACACTCTGGTCAACAGCGGCCCTAAGAGTCCACATTATAAAACTGCAGAAATCGAACATAAACGAATCTCTGTTCAGAGAACTTGCCATGAAAAAATCAGAATATGAACAAATATCAATATAGACACGGAAACAGTTTTAACATATTCCCAAACCTCTGCGGATTGTCTTTAAAGTTATGTTTGCATGATTTATACAATCACTTACTTAGTCACTTTCAAATGCTGTATTTATATACTCAATCATATTTAAAGTAATGAAAAACTTTAAACAAAAACACCAAAAGACCGTACAACATAAAGCGGATACATTGAATAGAAAAAAAGGAAGCGGAAGTTGCTGTCCACTGTTCTGAAACTGACAAATTATGACTAAAGATTGACATGGGTGCCCCGCACAAGTCCCCTCTCAAAAATCAAAATCCTGCATTGAATAACTTTTGTGTGAATGATTTCCACAAAAGACATTAATGCTGGCCAAGAAATATAACTCTGTCAACCATGTTATTATTTTAAAAACGTTAGTGTATATTCAAAAAGTCAAAAAATGTAAGAGAAATGTTGATGTGTATGGGTACGGGGTGCTGAAACAATCAGTAGAGCCTTCATGCACAACGCAAAGTAAATAAGCCTATGTAACAGATAGCTGTTGTGTATTTACCTCTGGTACACGCTAAGTTACATGAAACCAACATAGGTATTGATAATAAGTCTAAATCAAGCAAGTGAACTGTGGCAAAGAGGTTGACATCGAAAATGAAGCACTGATGAAATAAAAATTAAAAACGGAAAGTAATATAATAGGCCTAAGGTGTAAAGGAAGAGGGTTTAAGAGATCAGGAAGATTATCTTATGAAATACTTTTGCCGCATTATTTCTACTAAAAATCTTCGAGTTTAAAATTTAAAAAAAATATCATTGGTAATACTGTGTGGAAATGTTACAGCATTCTAACCTCTAGAGGAGAGTCTGGTTCATCCAGGATGCTCTTTTCATTCTGTATCCGCTGCATCGTCCCTGTAGAACTGGGGTCCATTATCAGCACGTTCTGACTACCAGCTCTGCCGAACTTACAGTCACTCTTTCTGGAGTCAGTCGTCCTGCACACCTCGTAATTGTACACGTGTTGGAGAGTCCCTGTCCCCAAAGTGTCTGAGTAACGTGGTGGATAATATGGAATCACAGGGAGATTGGAGTGATACAGGATGCGAGACTGTCTCCATCTGTAGATTTTCACTGATATAATAACCACTAAACACGTGATGAAGAGGAAGGAAACTACAGCCAGAGCCAACACTAAGTAAAAAGTCAGGTTGTCATTGTACTCCTTGTCGTGTGTAAAGTCAGTGAACTCCGACAGCACTTCAGGGAAGCTGTCTGCCACCGCCACGTTAACAATGACTGTAGCTGAACGAGAGGGGTGCCCGTTGTCCTCCACTATAACAGTCAGTCTTTGTTTCACTGCATCTTTATCAGTGACTTGGCGGATAGTTCTTATTTCTCCATTCTGTAAGCCCACTTCAAACAGCGCCCTGTCTGTGGCTTTCTGCAGTTTATAGGAGAGCCAGGCATTCTGTCCAGAGTCCACATCAACAGCCACCACTTTAGTCACCAGATAGCCCACATCTGCTGAACGAGGCACCATTTCAGCCACCAGAGAGCCACCAGTCTGGACTGGGTACAGGACCTGAGGGGGGTTGTCGTTCTGGTCCTGGATCAGTATTTTCACAGTCACATTGCTACTGAGAGGAGGAGAGCCTCCATCCTGCGCTTTGACGCGGAAGTGGAAATCTTTGATTTGCTCGTAGTCAAAAGAGCGCACTGCATGGATGACTCCGGTATCAGCACTAACGGACACATATGAGGAGACTGGCACTCCGTTAACAGAGGAGTCCTCCAGTATGTAGGAAACACGGGCATTCTGGTTCCAGTCAGCATCTTTGGCTTTCAAAGTGAATATAGAGAGGCCTGGTGTGTTGTTTTCTACTATGTAGGCCTCATATGAGCTCCTCTCAAAGACAGGCGCGTTGTCATTCACATCAGAGATCCTTAAGGTGAGAGTGACGCTGCTGGAGAGGGAGGGGACTCCCTCATCAGAGCAGGTCACTGTTATATTATACTGGGACGCGGCCTCTCTATCCAAAGCTACTTCTGTAACTAAACTATAGAATCCATTCATTGTGTTTTGTATTTTAAAAGGAATGTCATCATTAATATTACACTTCACCTCGCCATTCCTTTCAGAGTCAGGGTCATTTACACTTAGCATAGCAATCACAGTATTGTCAGGAGAGTCCTCTAAAATGCTATCTGATTTAGAGAGTATCCTTATATGAGGGCTGTTGTCATTGACATCAATGATATCAATTAGGATCTTACTGGAATCAGACAGTCCACCATTATCGATAGCCTCGATATCTATTTGGAAGAGCTTAGCTTTTTCATAATCTATTTCACCGATTAAGATAACCTCTCCAGTTTTTCTATCGATCTGAAACAGATCGGATAAACGACGCTTGCTATTTGAAATTGCGTATGATATTTCTGCATTAGAGCCTCCATCTTTGTCAGATGCACTAACCGTAATAACCCTGGTTCCCCTTGGGGAATTCTCGGTTAATGTTGCCTTGTATACTGACTTAGTGAAAACCGGTGCGTTGTCGTTTGCATCTAACAAGTTAACAGTTATCTGCATTGTCCCCGACATACGCGGCTGTCCGCCATCTAGAGCAGTTAATAGTAGTGATATTTGTTCCTGGTGCTCTCGATCTAGTGGTTTCTGTAAAACCATTTCTACCTTTTTACTTCCGTCTGCTTGATTCTCTAGTTTCAATGCAAAGTTGCTTGTTGGATTAAGCGAATAGCTTTGGAGACCATTTGCACCAATGTCTGCATCGATGGCTTTCTCCAGTACAAATTTAGACCCAATAACAGCTGACTCGCTGATCTCAAATCGTTTCTCGCTTGATGCAAAGCTGGGAGCGTTGTCGTTTATGTCTGTGATTTCTATTGTTATGCGAAACAGTTCCATTGGATTTTCCAGAATCATCTGTAAATGTAAAGCACAGGGCGTCGTTTCTCCACACAGCGTCTCTCGGTCTATTCTCTCTTTGATAAGGAGGACACCCCTTTCTCTATTCAGCTCGATGTATTCTGCACTGTCTCCCGAATGAATACGAGCTCTACCAGATTTGAGCCTTTTAAAATCTACACCTAAATCTTGAGCGACATTGCACACTAATGAACCTTTCTCCATTTCCTCAGGAATGGAGTAACTGACCTGCCCGAACACCGAACTAACAGAGAGAGCGAAGATGAACAACAGTACTTGCCGTCTCATCATTTTGTCGGGGTATTCCTGTGTCCGTTTGATAAAACTGCAATCCATATGAATATCCTTAAAAATTCCGTTCGTATCTGCAGTAATTTATCAACAAATAATAGCAGCTTCCCATGTCCGTGAGCAGTTTTTTATTTACACAAGGGCAGGCGGTTGGTGCCTGTTTTATTGTCTGCAATGTCACAATCTAAGGGGGAGGTACAGTCACCAGCCCTATCGAAGACTGCCACACTCTGGCCAACAGCGGCCCTTTCTGTTCATAACACCAAACAGCAATAGATGGGGTAAGGGAGACGAGAATGTAGATGATGATAGAAAATTGAAGCTGATTATTATTATTATTATTATTATTACTATTTGTAGTAGTAGTAGTAGTTACAGTAGCTGACCAGTATTTCGCTAGTGTCAGTAAGATCTTGGTTTACATCTGTGATAGAACTGTTTAATCACAGACTATCCTTATTGGTTGAAAGTTCATTAAATTTAAAATTAAACGAGGAAGAGCAAAAACAAAAAATCATGGCTATTGGCAAGTGTAGCTCTTTGTCACCGAAACTAATAATAAAACAGGTTGTGTATTGGATACAAGAAAAAAATTAAATCACGGAAGAAATGGACAATTATGTGGTGATGAGAGTCATATCTTTATGTAAAGCGGAATGCTGTCCATGGTACTGAAAATGCAGGTATGGCGCGCAACAGTTCCCAATGAATTTAACTAGACACAGAAAGAAATAACGGCAAAGAGAGCAGGCACATTATTTAACTGACCTCTATAGGAGAGTCTGGTTCATCCAGGATGCTCTTTTCATTCTGTATCTGCTGCATCGTTCCTGTAGAACTGGGGTCCATTATCAGCACGTTATGATTACCAGCTCTGCCGAACTTACAGTCACTCTTTCTGGAGTCAGTCGTCCTGCACACCTCGTAATTGTACACGTGCTGCAGAGTCCCTGTCCCCAAAGTGTCTGAGTAACGTGGTGGATAATATGGAATCACAGGGAGATTGGAGTGATACAGGATGCGAGACTGTCTCCATCTGTAGATTTTCACTGATATAATAACCACTAAACACGTGATGAAGAGGAAGGAAACTACAACCAGAGCCAAGACTAAGTAAAAAGTCAGGTTGTCATTGTACTCCTTGTCGTGTGTAAAGTCAGTGAATTCCGACAGCACTTCAGGGAAGCTGTCCGCCACAGCCACGTTAACAATGACTGTAGCTGAACGAGAGGGCTGCCCGTTGTCCTCCACTATAACAGTCAGTCTTTGTTTCACTGCATCTTTATCAGTGACTTGGCGGATAGTTCTTATTTCTCCATTCTGTAAGCCCACTTCAAACAGCGCCCTGTCAGTGGCTTTCTGCAGTTTATAGGAGAGCCAGGCATTCTGTCCAGAGTCCACATCAACAGCCACCACTTTAGTCACCAGATAGCCCACATCTGCTGAACGAGGCACCATTTCAGCCACCAGAGAGCCCCCAGTCTGGACTGGATACAGAACCTGAGGAGGGTTGTCGTTCTGGTCCTGGATCAGTATTTTCACAGTCACATTGCTACTGAGTGGAGGAGAGCCTCCATCCTGCGCTTTGACGCGGAAGTGGAAATCTTTGATCTGCTCGTAGTCAAAAGAGCGCACTGCATGGATGACTCCACTATCAGCACTAACGGACACATATGAGGAGACTGGCACTCCGTTAACAGAGGAGTCCTCCAGTATGTAGGAAACACGGGCATTCTGGTTCCAGTCAGCATCTTTGGCTTTCACGGTGAATATAGAGAGGCCTGGTGTGTTGTTTTCTACAATGTAGGCCTCATATGAGCTTCTCTCAAAGACAGGCGCGTTGTCATTCACATCAGAGATCTGTAAGGTGAGAGTGACGCTGCTGGAGAGGGAGGGCACTCCCTCATCAGAGCAGGTCACTGTTATATTATACTCAGAGGCTCTCTCTCTGTCTAATTCACTGTCTGTCACTAAGCTATAGAAATTATTTGATGTCGACATTATAGTCAAAGGGATGTTATCATTGATAACACATTGAACTTTACCGTTCTCATTTGAATCTGGGTCTTGAACGTTCATCATTGCTATAACTGTTTTCAGTTTTGAGTGTTCAGATATCATGTTTGATTGTGACATTATATTAATCATTGGTTTGTTGTCGTTCATATCCACCACTTCAACTATGACCTTACATGAATCAGTAAGTCCACCATCATCACTTGCACGTATGTTAATGTGGTAATTCCGTGCATTTTCATAATCAATATTTCCAAGCAATCTAATTTCACCGCTGTCTTCGTCTATCCCAAACAATGCATGGGCTTGATCTAAACTGTTTGTGATTGAATATTTTATCCTACCATTCGTCCCATAATCTACATCTGATGCAGTGACGCTGGTGACAATGGTGCCTTCTGGGGCATTTTCAAAAACAGTGGCTGTGTAGGTGGACTGTGAAAAAACAGGTGCGTTGTCATTGGCATCTAACACCGTGATGAAAATCCGAATTGTTCCCGACATTTGCGGGTCTCCTCCGTCAAAAGCTGTTAAAACTAAAGATATCAACTCTTCCTTTTCTCTGTCGAGAGGCTTCTGTAAAATCATTTCAACCTTTTCTGTTCCATCACCGTGACTGTCCCGTTTAAGTACAAAATTATCAGTAGGTTTAAGATCGTACTTTTGAAGACCATTTTTCCCGACATCGAGATCGATTGCTCTATCTAATACAAATTTTGCTCCAATTACAGCAGATTCGCTGATTTTAAAACTGACTTCACTTTTTTCAAAGGTGGGAGGATTGTCATTTATATCTGTAATCTCGACTGTGATACTGTAAAACTCCATGGGGTTCTCTAAAATAATTTGAAAATGTAAAGCACAAGGCGTAGTTTGTCTGCAGACCGCTTCTCTGTCTATTCTGTCTTTGATAAGGAGGAGTCCTCGGTCTTTATTCAGCTCGATGTATCCCGCACTGTCTCCTGTATACAGCCGGGCTTTACCTGACTTCAGTCGTTTTATATCTAAACCCAAATCCTGGGCAATATTACCGACTAAAGAGCCACTTGGTATTTCCTCGGGGATGGAGTAGCTGACTTGGCCGAGCACTGAACCGAAATAAAGGACCGAGAAAAACAACAGTACTTGCCGTCCCATTGTTCTGTCCGACATTTTCCTCGCGAAATTTAATAGGACGAAATATGTTCCACAATGGCCAAAAATTTATGGTCCATTACGTTTCATGAAGATCTAAGTGACACTCCACAATCGTCCGCACCGATTAAGAGAAGGGCTACTGCACTCTTGTCGTTTAAGTGTACGCCGACGTTGTAACCCTATGTCTGTCTTTCTCTCTCTGATATCATCATGATGGGGGAGGCTTCTCTTTAAATCTGCCGTGAAACATGAACACACTGGCCAACAGCGGCCCTAAGAGTACACAGTAATGAACTACATCAATTTCCTGGAGAGAAATAAAAATTATACGAGAGAATAGTTTTTTATATGTACCAGGGGGGAAAAAAGCAAATTCTTGATAAAATAGAATAATTGAGGGCTAACGTGATACTGTGGTTAAAAAAGTTATTCATACATTTCAATCTGACACAGTGGAAAGGAAATATTGAGTTATTTTGACATATGAACGACGACTGAAATTCACATGATTTGTACAACCCATGAGTAAGTGTCTGAGTCAAATACCCATAAACTCTTACATGTTTTGTAAATGTTCACGTTACTAGATAGATAGATAGATAGATAGATAGATAGATAGATAGATAGATAGATAGATAGATAGATAGATTGAATATGTATCTTATGTGGATTAAGTATAAGATATAAGGCTCTAATTAGTCAGCAAAATTAACACGAAGTAACAATCTATCCAAACAATCTATTCAGAAAAATGATGGGTACACCACAAATCCCTTGCAGACACAAATGTACACAAATACTTGCAAACACACACATGCCATTAGAAACACCATGGACATAAAAAAAGATGGTCATAACAGTGCCTGTCCATGGTGCTGAATGCAGACTAATAAATGACACCTATATGAAAACCATCATCAGTTACAGTGAAAATGCAAACACGTCCCAGTTACAATTGAGCCCCCCAAAGAACAACCTCTAGAGGAGAGTCTGGCTCATCCAGGATGCTCTTTTCAGTTATTTAGTAACTAATCAAAAACATTCCTATACTTCTCACACACCTGAATTATGGTTAAGGTTGTGTGCAGGTTTTATAAAACTATGAGGTGAAAAGATGGTTGTTGAAGATGTCTTTATGAAACCATTAAGGATGGTTTGTTGTGAGGGTGAAAAATGGCAAAAGAAAAAACATAAGTAAACGATATAGCAATTCCTAGCCTTCCAAGAGCCTCCAGTTTAGTGTGCAACGTAATGCACAAATAAAGAAAAACTGCTGCCATTAAGGATGTAATGCAACACTTTATGTCATTCCATGAGACTAACCTCTAGAGGAGAGTCTGGTTCATCCAGGATGCTCTTTTCATTCTGCATCCGCTGCATCGTTCCTGTAGAACTGGGGTCCATTATCAGCACATTCTGACTACCAGCTCTGCCGAACTTACAGTCACTCTTTCTGGAGTCAGTTGTCCTGCACACCTCGTAATTGTACACGTGTTGGAGAGTCCCGGTGCCCAAAGTGTCTGAGTAACGTGGTGGATAATATGGAATCACAGGGAGATTGGAGTGATACAGGATGCGAGACTGTCTCCATCTGTAGATTTTCACTGATATAATAACCACTAAACACGTGATGAAGAGGAAGGAAACTACAGCCAGAGCCAACACTAAGTAAAAAGTCAGGTTGTCATTGTACTCCTTGTCGTGTGCAAAGTCAGTGAACTCCGACAGCACTTCAGGGAAGCTGTCTGCCACCGCCACGTTAACAATGACTGTAGCTGAACGAGAGGTCTGCCCGTTGTCCTCCACTATAACAGTCAGTCTTTGTTTCACTGCATCTTTATCAGTGACTTGGCGGATAGTTCTTATTTCTCCATTCTGTAAGCCCACTTCAAACAGCGCCCTGTCAGTGGCTTTCTGCAGTTTATAGGAGAGCCAGGCATTCTGTCCAGAGTCCACATCAACAGCCACCACTTTGGTCACCAGATAGCCCACATCTGCTGAACGAGGCACCATTTCAGCCACCAGAGAGCCACCAGTCTGGACTGGGTACAGAACCTGAGGAGGGTTGTCGTTCTGGTCCTGGATCAGTATTTTTACAGTCACATTGCTACTGAGTGGGGGAGAGCCTCCATCCTGCGCTTTGACGCGGAAGTGGAAATCTTTGATCTGCTCGTAGTCAAAAGAGCGCACTGCATGTATGACTCCACTATCAGCACTCACGGACACATATGAGGAGACTGGCACTCCGTTAACAGAGGAGTCCTCCAGTATGTAAGACACACGAGCATTCTGCTTCCAGTCAGCGTCTCTGGCTTTCACTGTGAATATAGAGAGGCCCGGTGTGTTGTTTTCTACAATGTATGCCTCATATGAGCTCCTCTCAAAGACAGGCGCGTTGTCATTCACATCAGAGATCTGTAAGGTGAGAGTGACGCTGCTAGAGAGGGAGGGTACTCCCTCATCAGAGCAGGTCACTGTTATATTATACTCAGAGGCTCTCTCTCTGTCTAAAGCAACCTCTGTAACTAAAGTATAAAACCCATTTAACGAGGTTTGGATTTTAAAGGGGATGTTATCGTCTATATCACACTCTACTTTCCCATTACTCTCTGAATCTGGATCGTTTATACTTAACATAGCAAGAACAGTGTTTGGAGGCGAGTCCTCGAGCACGGATTCTGATTTAGAAACAATGTTTATCTGAGGATTGTTGTCATTTATATCAAGAACATCAACTATGACCTTAGTAGAATCAGAAAGTCCCCCGCTGTCTACAGCTTCAACGTCGATTTGATAAATGTTCGCCTTTTCATAATCTATTTCACCGATTAGGACAATTTCACCGGTTTTTGAGTCGATCTTAAACAGTTCATATAAAAGACGTTTGCTGGAAGATATCATATATGATACTTCTCCGTTTGAGCCAATATCTTTATCAGATGCACTTACAGTCGTTACGCTGGTGCTTTTAGGAGAATGTTCTTGTATTTTTGCTCTGTATAGCGGTTTAGCGAATGTAGGTGCGTTGTCGTTCACATCCAGTACGTTGACAAATATCTGCATTGTCCCTGACATCCGTGGCTCTCCTCCATCTATAGCAGTTAGTAACAGTGACATGTAATCCTGCTTCTCTCGATCTAGTGGCTTCTGTAGCACCATCTCTACCTTTTTACTTCCGTCTGCCTGATTTTCTAGTTTTAATGCAAAGTTTCCAGTTGGGGTAAGTGAGTATTGTTGTAAGCCATTCATCCCAATATCTGAATCAATAGCTTTCTCTAATACGAATTTCGATCCTATAACAGCGGACTCACTGATTTCGAAGCGTTTTTCTGCATTTGTGAAACTGGGCGTGTTATCGTTTATATCGGTAATCTCAACTGTAACACGAAACAATTCCATTGGATTTTCGAGAATTAGCTGGAAATGTAAAGCACAAGGCGTCGTCTCTCCACATAAAGCCTCTCTGTCTATCCTCTCTTGGATAAGGAGGAATCCCTTTTCTTTATTCAGCCCGATATACTCCACACCGCCTCCAGTATAGACACGAGCTTTACCTGATTTCAGTCTTTTAAGATCTAAACCTAAATCATTCGCTATGTTACCAACTATAGAGCCTTTGGCCATTTCTTCGGGAATGGAGTAGCTGACCTGCCCAAGCACGTAGCTCAGACACAGGACCGAGAGAAACAACAGTACTTGCCGTCTCATTGTTCTGTCAGATGTCGTTTCGGTTCCTGTATCATTAAAAGAAAAGCATTCCCATTGCAGTCAATGCGAAGATGGATAGCATAAAGGAAAAAAAATCCGCAATCCAACTATAGAAAGCTGAACAATGTATCCAGTTACACTATTCCTCGCAGTGCTCCTTATGAGCATGGACTGTGCATTCTGCCTTTTTCTTATTGTGTCCAACGTATCGAGTCAAGGGGCAGGACACAGACAAAAATAGCATCTGTTATATGGCAACACGCTTGCCAACAGCGACGCTTTGAGTTGACAATTCAAATTACAACAAGTTATAACAAATAAAAAAAGTTTAGTGCAGAATCACACTATTTATCAAACAGAACCACAACCAGAGTAAATTTGGCTGTTGATTAAATTACCACATTGATAATATTGTGTTTAAGTGTTTTTGCAACTAATTAAAATGCTGTTATGAAAGAAAAAGTGCTTTTTAAATTATAGGAAGTTGATATGAATAAAAGTGATGATGCCAAGACAAAAAATAAAAGCACAACAAATTAGCTGGAGTTAGTTGTGTTAAGTGTAGCTGTCCATGGTGCTGAATAGGAACTCTGTAGCATTTCCTGAACCTCTCAGGCATTTTTTTAAGGTCTTTTTCAGACTCATACTAACCTACTGCCCATGAAATTAATGCACACCGCCTTGATCTTGATTTGCATTAAAATGAAAAAAATGTGATTGTTACAGTTTTCTAACCTCTAGAGGAAAGTCTGGTTCTGGTTTTTCAGTAACTAATCCAAAACATTCCTATACTTTTCACACACCTGAATTATGCTTAAGGTTGCGTGCAGGTTTAATAAAACTATGAGGTGAAGAGATGGTTGTTGAAGATCTGTTTATGAAACCATTAAGGATGGTTTCTTGTGAGGGTGAAAAATGTAAACGATATCGCAATTCCTAGCTTTCCAAGAGCCTCCAGTTTAGTGTGCAACGTAATAAACAGATAAAGAAAAACTGCTGCCATTAAGGGTGTAATGCAACACTTTATGTCATTCCATGAGACTAACCTCTAGAGGAGAGTCTGGTTCATCCAGGATGCTCTTTTCATTCTGTATCCGCTGCATCGTCCCTGTAGAACTGGGGTCCATTATCAGCACGTTCTGACTATCAGCTCTGCCGAACTTACAGTCACTCTTTCTGGAGTCAGTCGTCCTGCACACCTCGTAATTGTACACGTGCTGGAGAGTCCCTGTCCCCAAAGTGTCTGAGTAACGTGGTGGATAATATGGAATCACAGGGAGATTGGAGTGATACAGGATGCGAGACTGTCTCCATCTGTAGATTTTCACTGATATAATAACAACTAAACACGTGATGAAGAGGAAGGAAACTACAGCCAGAGCCATTACTAAGTAAAAAGTCAGGTTGTCATTGTATTCCTTGTCGTGTGTAAAGTCAGTGAACTCCGACAGCACTTCAGGGAAGCTGTCCGCCACCGCCACGTTAACAATGACTGTAGCTGAACGAGAGGGTTGCCCGTTGTCCTCCACTATAACAGTCAGTCTTTGTTTCACTGCATCTTTATCAGTGACTTGGCGGATAGTTCTTATTTCTCCATTCTGTAAGCCCACTTCAAACAGCGCCCTGTCTGTGGCTTTCTGCAGTTTATAGGAGAGCCAGGCATTCTGTCCAGAGTCCACATCAACAGCCACCACTTTAGTCACCAGATAGCCCACATCTGCTGAACGAGGCACCATTTCAGCCACCAGAGAGCCACCAGTCTGGACTGGATACAGAACCTGAGGAGGGTTGTCGTTCTGGTCCTGGATCAGTATTTTCACAGTCACATTGCTACTGAGTGGAGGAGAGCCTCCATCCTGCGCTTTGACGCGGAAGTGGAAATCTTTGATCTGCTCGTAGTCAAAAGAGCGCACTGCATGGATGACTCCACTATCAGCACTAACGGACACATATGAGGAGACTGGCACTCCGTTAACAGAGGAGTCCTCCAGTATGTAAGAAACACGGGCATTCTGGTTCCAGTCAGCGTCTCTGGCTTTCACTGTGAATATAGAGAGGCCTGGTGTGTTGTTTTCTACAATGTAGGCCTCATATGAGCTCCTCTCAAAGACAGGCGCGTTGTCATTCACATCAGAGATCTGTAAGGTGAGAGTGACGCTGCTGGAGAGGGAGGGTACTCCCTCATCAGAGCAGGCCAATGTTATATTATACTCAGAAGCTCTCTCTCTGTCCAAATCATCGTTTGTTAGTATGCTATAGAAACCATTCGATGTATTTTCAATGATAAAAGGTACACTGTCCCTCAGAAAACATTTAATCACTCCGTTATTTTCCGAGTCAGCATCATGCACATTCATCACAGCAAGAACTGTCTGTAATGGTGAATCTTCCGGTAGAGACTGTCTAGTCGACATCAAATCAATTATTGGAGCATTGTCATTCACATCAATAATGTCAAATAGTATTTTGCAGGAGTCCGTGAGCCCACCTTGATCTCGTGCTTTAACATGTAGCTGATAATGTTTTGATGTTTCATAATCTATATTTCCAATCAAACGTACCTCTCCACTTGTCTCGTGTATTTCAAATAAATCCAAAATTCCCTCAGTGTTACTAGTAATAGAATACGTTAATAAACCATTTGTACCTTGATCTATATCTGTGGCCCTTACAGTCATTAATGAAGTTCCCTTCTGGGCATTTTCCATTAAACTAGCTTTATATGTTGACTGCGTAAATACTGGAGCATTGTCATTCACATCTAATACAGTTACGTGAATTTGCACTGTCCCTGACTGCTGTGGTTCACCTCCGTCGACAGCAGTTAGTGTTAGAGTCAGATGCTCTTGTTTCTCACGATCGAGAGGTTTCTCCAAGACCATCTCTACCTCCTTTTCTCCACCTGCGTTGTCGGTGAGTTTTAAAATGAAATTATCTGTTGGGTTAAGTGAGTAGCTCCTGAGTCCGTTTATTCCAACATCAGAATCTAATGCTTTCTCTAATACAAATTTGGCCCCCTTGACAGCCGATTCGCTTATCTCAAATAACATACTATTCATTTTGAATGTAGGGGCGTTGTCGTTTAAATCTGTTATTTCTACCGTAACGCGATAGAACTCGATGGGATTTTCCAAAATGATTTGAAAATGTAAAGCACAAGGAGTCGTTTGTTTGCATAACGCCTCTCTGTCTATTTTCTCCTTAATGAGAAGGAGTCCCTTTTCTTTATTCAGCTCGATGTATTCAGCGCTGTTTCCAATGTGCAAGCGAGCTTTCCCTGTTTTCAGCCGTTTTAAATCTAAACCTAAATCTTGTGCGATGTTTCCGACCAAAGAGCCTTTCGACATTTCCTCCGGGACAGAATAGGTGACCTGCCCGAGCACGGAACAGAGAGAGACCACGGACACAAACAATAGTACTTGCCGTCTCATTGTTTCGTTTAACGATTCTCTACCATCAAAACGAATCAGAAAATAATCCGCAAAAAAAGACAGTCGTATTCCACACAGATCAGGACTGAGAATCAAAAAGCGTCAACACAAATGTGGATGAAAAATATGTCCAACTCCTTTACGTTCGTGTTCTCTGTATCTCAGATTGTGTACGGTAGCGACGTTGCTTGCAACAAATCTAAATGATCTGGGAGGGGCTGCCGAAAACGGCAGTGAAACAAAAACACACTGGCCAACAGCGTCCCTAAGAGTACACAACACGAAACTGCACAAGACAAGTGCATTATGGAGACAGGCCATCGTGAGGTTAAAAAGTGATTTAAAGTACTGAACACAATCGCACTGTTTAGTGGGATTGCCCTTAATGCCGAAGTAATTTTAATAAATTAAGGAAATACAAAGAAATAAAAGCCAAAAACAGGATAAAATTTCTCAATGAAAGAACACTGTATGTAAACATATATGTGAGCGATAATACGGCAAGGACATTTTACAGACAAGAAAAACTCAGTCTCTCTCTCTCTCTCTATGTCACACACACACACACACACACACACACACACACACACACACACACACACACACCACCGTAAGAGTCAACATACATGAGAATGTGTGTTGCGTGTGGTGCGTGTGGTGTGCGACATAGAGAGAGTTTTTCTTGTCTGTAAAATGTCCTTGCCGTATTATCGCTCACATAATATATTTACAATACAGTGTTTTTCATTGAGAAATTTTTATCCTGTTTTTGGCTTTTATTTCTTTGTATTTCCTTAGTTTATTAAAATTACTTCGGCATTAAGGGCAATCCCACTAAACAGTGCGATTGTGTTCAGTACTTTAAATCACTTTTTAACCTCACGATGGCCTGTCTCCATAATGCACTTGTCTTGTGCAGTTTCGTGTTGTGTACTCTTAGGGACGCTGTTGGCCAGTGTGTTTTTTGTTTCACTGCCGTTTTCGCAGCCCCCTCCCAGATCATTTTAGATTTTGCAAGCAACGTCGCTACCGTACACAATCTGAGATACAGGAATTACGAACGTAAAGGAGTTGGACATATTTTTCATCCACATTTTGTTGACGCTTTTTGATTCTTAGTCCTGATCTGTGTGGAATACGACTGTCTTTTTTTGCGGATTATTTTCTGATTCGTTTTGATGGTAGAGAATCGTTAAACGAAACAATGAGACGGCAAGTACTATTGTTTGTGTCCGTGGTCTCTCTCTGTTCCCGTGCTCGGGCAGGTCTCCTATTCTGTCCCGGAGGAAATGTCGAAAGGCTCTTTGGTCGGAAACAATCGCACAAGATTTAGGTTTAGATTTAAAACGGCTGAAAACAGGGAAAGCTCGCTTGCACATTGGAAACAGCGCTGAAATACATCGAGCTGAATAAAGAAAAGGGACTCCTTCTCATTAAGAGAAAATAAGACAGAGAGGCGTTATGCAAACAAACGACTCCTTGTGCTTTACATTTTCAAATCATTTTGGAAAATCCCATCGAGTTCTATCGTGTTACGGTTAGAAAATAACAGATTTAAACGACAACGCCCCTACATTAAAATGAATAGTATGTTATTTGAGATAAGCGAATCGGCTGTCAAGGGGCCAAATTTGTATTAGAGAAAGCATTAGATTCTGATGTTGGAATAAACGGACTCAGGAGCTACTTCACTTAACCCAACAGATAATTTCATTTTAAA